TGCGCTTTATTGGGGGGGGGGGGGGAAGGTCAAGCGTGTTGCCGTATCCGCGTAGCCGTAGCATTCTGAGCCATTCCTGTGTACCCCCCATCTTGCAGCCGCCGGCTTGAGCAAGATTCACTTGGCACCTAAGTCTAGCACTGCTGTGTGTGCGACAGACACAAGGTGAGTACATCTGTTAGGGTGTCTTTATTTCCTCGCATGGCGCCACATCCCGTTTTCGAACGTGCCCCTCGAGCACAGCTCTCTCCCCATCTCTTCCCGACTCCTCGACATCAGCTCCATTACGTCCGCCCCAACAACCTGGGATGAGCAAGGAGCGGCTGGGTTCATACCTCCTCCCATAGCAGTAGTGGGACTGTTGGCGCGAGTAGGACCTGGAGGATTCGGAGGGACGGGCCCGCCTTTGAAATTCGACGAGGTCATGCAGGTAGGAGAGGAAGCGAGGTCGATCGCTATCAAAGCTACGCACATTTGATAGGAATAGGGTAATATTAAGACTTTTGGCAGTTTGTTGTGTCTACGCGTCAAAAAGCGCTCAGTGGAAACTCTTGATTTTCGGATTTCTCTGCCACACAACCGAAACCAACCCCAGCTTCCGTGATGCTTTCCAAGAATTTTTGCAAGCCTTTGAGCACCTTTAGCGATGATTGAAGCGGTTGAGGCAAAGAAAGTAGGAGGTCCGAGATTCATTCTTACCCCTTGCAAATTTGTACAGGCTATCGACGACACATACGACTACACGCCTAAGCCCTTCAAAAATGGGGACGTAACGAACCCTGCAGGAACTAATGCGGTGCGTCCCACACTTCTAGACTTCACAAGAAAGCTACAGATAGATGTCAAGCCCCCTTTTCTTCCTTTCTCAGAACTTATTTTCAATCAATGGCTAGGGCTCCTGCAAGCTCCTCTCCCTCGGCATCCTTCACGGCTTACCACCCGCTTCGTTGCTCGCCCTTTTCGGTACGTTGTCGTTCACATTTGAGTACATGCGGCCTTGTCAAGTCATTCACTGACCTATTCTTATTGCTATGAGTCATTTTTAAATAAAATATCATCCTAGCTTCCCGAGGATGTACAACCTTTCTCTTCTTTTTTAAGCGATAACCTTTCTTTTTTTGTTTTGATTGAGTCTTACGGCTAAATTTCTTACCACCGCTCTTGCAATCAATCTTATCATTTTGTGGGCATAGGTGAACACTACCGGTCTGTAATTCAGACCCCAAAAGGTAGCGATCACGGGAATATTCGAAGTCTCCTCTCAAAGGGATGGCAGGCGGTCTCTTTTCCTGAAGGTCTATCCCTGCGTCTCAAATAATAGTGTCGATGGAGAGAAACATGTTAGATTTCCATGAAAAGCTCGCATTCAATTGGACAAGACACTTCAAAGAAATTGAAAGGACAGTTTTGATCAATTTCAATTTGTTGCCTCCCATGGGAGGAGCAGGCCCAAGCAGCGACCCTGGCGGTATTCTTGGGCCAGCGAGGGAGCATATTCGCGTGTGACTGCTGCCCTGGAGACATTCGTGTTTTGTTGGATACGGAGCAACATGTGTTTAATAAAGTGTTTTCAAAAATATTTAAATGCTCTGCGTACCTTGATGCGCGCTGGGGCTCGAATGCATCGATCGGATTCCCCTCCTCGACATACGTTAACCCCCTATCCAGTTAATATTTCCCTTAGAAGGAGACCAAGTATTTGTGACTTTTGGCCTTCAGATTTTTGATAAAAAGATTTTGGAAATTCTCATTGGTCTAGTTTTTGCCTTGTGTAGCTTTTTCAAAGGATTGTCCGGCCTCCAGATCACACAACCTACCTTCCATCTTAAGTGCCAGGCTTCCCGTAAAAATTTTACGTCTGCATGGATAAACTTCCCTCAACGTGCTTCACGAGTCTTACACCGACAAAGATACACATGCCTTGCAAGTCGATAGCATATCTGGTGACTGCTATCGTGGTCATCGCCTCGCTCAAATGGTTTTACGAATACCTTCAGGCTCGAAAACCTGGCTTGGGCTGTATTGCCGGCAATGAGGCCACCCATCTCCTGAGTCCTGATGGCGTGAACATCCCAATTATTCATTCCTGTGTGATTATCAAAAGTTGGATCACAGCTGCAGATGTGGTACGCGTGCTCCAAAGGGCCGGAATTCCTAGTAGACGTTTCCAGCGCCTACAGCACTGCGTTTCGGCAAGCCCGGACACGTTTCAGCCCTTCGAAAACAGCCGTGGGGACTGGCCTGTATATTGGTTTCCTGAGCCCTCATTCTCCCACGAGAAGCATGTGGATTATCTCCCAGAGGGCCTCTCTCAAAGGGAGCTCAAGGACTGGATGAGCGGCATCATGAACATGCCACCGACATTTACCCGCAGCCCCTGGGAAATTTTGGTGGCGAATGCCTTGGATGGCGACAGCGAACGCACGGCGTTGATATTGCGGCTGCATCACGTGCTAGGGGATGGTCTCTCTGTGCTCGGTTTGCTGGAAGCCATGAGCGAGCCTCTGGAAGAGCACAAGCGGGGAGCTGAGAACCGGGAAGGGGAATGTATGCTAGCGACTGCCCTGACAGTGGGGCTGAAGCGCCGCCTAGACCAGCACAAAGAGTCCAGTCATCCGCATCAGACACATCCTATGATATCAAGCGCACCCTCTCCTTGCGCCACGCTCAGCTCGCTCTCCCGCCTCCTCCACCGCCTTTCTCGCTCTGCCCTCTTCGGAGCACGTATGGCGGTGGAAGTGCCCTGGGTGCTATGGCGCGACTACATCGCAGCGCCTCCGGAGCGCAATATGTTCAAGCCCCAGCCCCTGTCGGGAAGGAAGAAGGTGGCCTGGTCCCAGGAGCTCCTGGAGGTGGCTCGGCTGAAACGCGTCAAGGACAAATTGGGCGTGAAGGTCAACGACGTGTTGCTGGCCTGCGCGACGGGGGCGCTCCGGACCATCATGCTGAGCCAGTCCGTCGGCGACCGTGCTCACTTCGTGTTTCCAGAGGTGCCACGCGG